TCTTCTTTTTTTTTTTTTTTTTTTTTTTTGTGAATATATCAAAGTGTAGTTGAATGTATAACAATGTGATAAATTTTTTTTTTGAGCTTGGTAGGTTCTTTGCGATCCCAAATAAACCCCAATGCCTTTGTCCATTTTAACCATCCAACTTGTATCTTGTGTGTATCATCTTCATTGATTTTTTTCCATCATTTTGTAATATTGATTCCAAATATTTAAATTTAGAAATATGTGGTATAACATCTTTTCCTATTTTTACTTCTGATTCATTTTCTTCTTGGTTCTTGCTAAAATTATAATGCATACAGTGTCTGTTATACTCCTACTCAAGTGAAAATTCTGATTCCAAAGTTCATCTTTGAAGTTCAAGTTCAGGGCTTACCTCTTCACTTGATTTCTCAATCAAAACTATATTATCTGCAAAAGCATGCAAATAGGGATAGTTTTGTTTAGGGCCCTAGTAAGCACATCCAAGACTAAAGGCTGAGCCTTGATTTACTCTCAAGTTCTCACACTAGTAGTTATCCCATCATACATATCTTTTATAGTTCAGATACAAGTAATGCAATAACTTTTCGTTTGGCATATATAAAGTCTTCCACAATATTTCTCTTGGCATTCAATCATGTTTTTCCATGTCAATATTCCATATGTAAGTCTTTTTCTCTGCTTCAATACCTTTTCATCAAGACATCAACCCTCCCAAAGATAAATGGTTGCAGTTGTAGACCTTCCTTGCATAAAACAAATTGACTCAATGTAATCCTAGACCTTTCCATCTAATGTTAACGCAATAGAATAGATATAGATATTCTAGTACATTTATTTGTTCAACTTGATAAGCTTTAAGTGTTTGTGTAGGTTGTTTTGACATCACTAGTATATGAGAAGCAACAAAAATTAAGAATCATGATGAAAATGCATGGTCTTGGTGATGGGCCATATTGGATGATTTCATATGGTTATTTTCTTGCCATATCAGTAACCTACATGTTGTGTTTTGTGATATTTGGTTCACTTTTAGGTAAGAATATAAATATTGAACTGTTTCCTCTTTTTGGGATTTTCCTGTTTTCTTTAATGCTGTTGACTTTATTTTCAGGATTAAAAATCTTCACAATCAATGACTACAGCACCCAATTCGTGTTTTATTTCATATATATCAACTTACAAATTGCACTGGCATTTTTGGTGTCTTCCATATTTTCAAATGTTAAGACAGCTACAGGTTTGATGATAGCCACTTTTATGTAGTTCATAATAATGGGTGTATTACCTCGAACTGATTACTGACTTGTGTTCTTGATAATTGCAGTAACTGCATATATAGGTGTCTTTGGAACCGGTTTATTAGGTGGCTTTCTTTTCCAATTCTTTGTTCAAAACACATCATTTCCAAGTAAGTTAAATGACCAAGGAATGATATCCATTATGGGTTATTCTTATGGTTTTCATATATAATTTTATGTACTAGTATTATATTAAACTATCATTGAATGGGATTCTCAAGGTACAATGGAAATTTTTTCTGAATGACTGGCTAACTTTGTTGATGATACTAATAAGAATAACAATATCATGTCTATGTTCTCATTAATAACTTTATTAATCTAAGAATAGGGGAAAAAGTTAATTGAGAAAAGATTGCCCATGACACATAAATTGATACCTAGTTTTCTCCCCACTTTTCTCAATTCTTATCCCATTCGTCATGGAAAGGAAAACATTCTAGTGACTAGAAACCTGCTTCAATTCAAATTCAGTAGGAAGGAATGTGGTTGTTTATTTCTTCGTATTTCATATTAAAATGAAAAATTTAGAATTAACTTTACCTTGGGTTGAGCATGTAAAGGGTTTAGTTGTGGATTAGTTATTAGGTCATGGTCCAAGTAAATCGCTGTTGGAAAATCACCTTAATTGCGATCAAACCTAGCCTGCCTTCCTAGTGGCCTCTTTGGGGATGCTTTAATTGCAACTTCAAAGGTGGTGTTTAGTCTCGCATCGACTAGAGATATGACTTGAATGAAATTTATAAAACTAAGATAAAGTTCACCTTATAAGCGTTAAGTTAGGTCCTAAGTCCAAATTCTAAGATGGTACCATGACTTATCCTAGATCCATTGTTAGGCCACCTGCGTTGTCACGGACTAGGTCCATAGCCTTGTATATTAGGGGTTGGAAAGCCATCTTAATTGTCGCCTTTTTGGGGGCTGCCTTAATTGTAGTCTCAGGTGATATTTAGTCTCATATTGACTAGAGATACGACTTAATAGAGCAAATAAAGCGTAAGTAATCTTCACTTTACAAGTGGGTTTTATGGTGTTGAATTAGGTCCTAAGTCCAAATTCTAAGAACCACCCATATGGACGATATATTATATAGAGGGGGTTAGTGGGAGAATATTGGCTGATTTTGTGATGCTGCCAAGTTAGTTAAATGGGTCTGCATTATAGGGGAGTACGGGAGGCTAGGTTGGGGGCACGGGGAAGGTTATTGTGAGGGTGGCTAAGAGTGTGTTATTGAGGCATTGACTCTAGTGGGAGAAAACACTTTCTCTTGTTAGTTTTCCAATCTAATAATACTATTTCCACCAATTTTATACTATTCAACATATTATTCTGCATTGGCGAATTAGTATTTTATCATCTTTTTGAATTATATGTCTATGTTGAAAGTTTCTAATCTTCTAGCCTATCAATTTTCTATGCTATTTCTTCAGGAGGGTGGATTATTGTTATGGAGTTGTATCCTGGGTTTGCTTTATATCGTGGGTTATATGAGTTTGCACAGTTTTCCTTTGAGGGGAGTATTTCGGGGACTGGTGGTATGAAGTGGCAGAATCTCAGTGAAAGCACCAATGGCATGAAAGAGGTCTTAATCATCATGTTGGCTGAGTGGATAGTGATTCTTTTTGCTGCCTTCTACATTGATCAAATACTGTCGTCAGGAAGTAGAAAAAGCCCTCTTTTCTTCTTGAAAGGATTTCAGAAAAAGACTCCTTTCCCGAATCTTGATACCCAAATGCAGGTGTCAAAAGTATTCTCTCAGATGGAGAAACGTGATGTTATCCAAGAGGTGAATATTTTTTTATATTGAAATAAATGTATAAGGTACTCGTATTATACGTTTACCAGATTATGAAATTGAGTACACTAGGTCTATCATGAGGTGCATTTCACATATTGGTTTCAGAAATTCTCAAATTTAGAAGGAATAATATTCACTTCTTCCTTTTCTTATTATATAATTATGAGGTCATTAGACCTATATATACATGAGCCTGCTGGCAATTTTAGGAAATATGGACAGCTAATTCTAGGGAGACAAATCCCTGTGATTATGGGATTGTTTCTAAATACATAAACCTACTATTAACAGTAAGATACAACTGTGATAAAGAATAAAATTATAGCAAGGATAAAATATAAAATTTCCTAAGATACACAATGAGCAACACGGTTTTCACAGAAATTGATGTAATGGTTCTGCCTGAGTAACGAGTAGTTTTGAGATACATAACACTTGGTACAACTAGGGTGGAACTTAAATTAGGCACAGATTCCATTAGAGAACCAAATAACTTCTGTTTGCTAACTTTTTCTTTTTTCAAAAATTATATTCGTGTTGAAATTATGGGGATTAAGGTATTGAGGGAGGAAAAAGAGAGAATAGAGACTGAATATTCTAAAATTTATAATGACTTGATATGATATGACCCATTGTGTGTAATGTGACTGATGTGATATAAAAGATAAAATATCAAGTTCTATTTATACTAAATGAAGACTTATAATCTAAATTAAATTAAATATGGAAACAAAGCTTGAGATTTCTAATCAGGAATATGGAGACTAATCTTAAAATAATGTAAATGAATCCAAAATGCAATCAATATAGGCTATTTTTCATATATTCTAACAACTTTTATTCAGGGGGGAAATGATAATGTGGAGCTATGTGTTTGACTTAATTAGCTTGTATTTGTCACATAAATGATAAATGTAACCATGTATTTTCACTGAAAGACCTCATTACAAATTTGGTTGTACTGATGTACTTAATATGTCGAGACTTGTAAAATGCTTTCTTTTCTTTTCAGAAGGAGAAGGTGGAGGAACTGCTACGTGAACCCACTATTAATCATGCAATTGTATGTGACGACCTAAAAAAAGTCTATCCAGGGAGGGATGGAAATCCAGATAAATTTGCAGTGAGAGGGTTGTTCCTTTCAGTGCCTCAAGGGGAATGCTTTGGTATGCTAGGTCCCAATGGAGCTGGGAAGACCTCTTTTATCAATATGGTCAGTTAAAATTTTTCAAACAATATATACATTAGAATCTGATTGTATTCTCTCTCCCCCCTGGCCCCCCCTCCCCTCCAAAAAAATTGCAAAAGGCTCCATTCAGTTGATCACATAAGAGAACAAAATAAGTTATGAAATTCTAATAGAATGAATTATGCTTTTTTAGAATGATTTTCTCCTTAAGTTATAAATCTAATAAGATTTTGTGTGCTTATAGATGATTGGTCTCACAAAGCCAACCTCGGGTGCGGCATTTGTTCAAGGCTTGGACATAAGAACTCATATGGAGGGAATATATACTACCATGGGTGTGTGCCCACAGCATGAGTAAGCCGGAAATTCCTCCATTTTTTTTCTTTCTAAAATCGAACTTATAACAATTGAAAAATGTTTTCTAACTTGTCATTTCTCTCTTTATCTGTAGCTTGCTGTGGGAAAGCTTGACAGGTAGAGAGCACCTACTTTTTTATGGCAGACTTAAAAATCTTAAAGGTTCAGTTTTGGCACAAGTAAGTTAATTTGAGAGAAATTATTTTGTTGTTATATCAAGATTATTATCATTGGGTTAGGAGTCTTGACATTTAGAACTTAAGAGTTAGGAGTATTTAGTTGTACTACTCTTATATTTCCTAAGATATTAAGTATAAATTGGTGTTTTAGGTTAGCCAGAGAGGCTCGTCCTTGTGCCTATTTATTTTTAAAATATTTAAAAATTTGTTTAAATATGTTTTTAGTCTTTGAAAAATTAACGAGTTTTAAAAAAATTGTAAACATTGTTTTTGATATTTATAAAATGAGTAAATTTTAATTTTTCTTCTTGTAAAATATTTTTTTTTGTTGATTCTCATCTCTCTAAAATCTAAAATTATTATTTATTGTTTCTAATGATGATTTTAAGATAGATAAATAATATTTAATTTAAGACTTATAAAAAAATTTAGAAGTGTAACTTTGTAACATACTAATATGGTTTCACAAATAATTGTAGGTAAACCTAAGATAATCACTTAACTTTTTAATAAACAAATAAGTTGTTAAAAAATAATTACATAATAATATGGGATTAAAACAACATTTCTAAATTTTAGAGGATGAAAAACAAGTAAAAAAATTTTTAGAGACTAAAATTAAAATTTGTTCATTTTATAGGGAATAAAATCATATTTAAGCTTTAAATTTTGGTATTAGTAGTTTGTGATTTTTGTGCGATATAATACAATACTTGGGGGACTTTGTCAATATCTTCAAAGCAATAGCTAACTATTTAGTGAAGTTTTTATTTGAAACTTTATATAAAAAGATGTTGCAAAGACAAAATTATATAACTTGACAACATAATTTATAACACGAACAAAACACTTGGCATATGACTAAACCATTTTCTTTTTATATTTTTCATTTGATCCGCATACTTTTTCTATTAAAGTTAAGGTCCTTTTTTGGTTATCAAATTGAAGTTGAGATTCTTAGTGAATTACCATGGAACGTTTGATACACATGAAATTTTTATTTTTTCGAAAATTTGATGGTCGGAAATGTTAGTTTTTCGTATTTGATTTGTTATTTAAAAAATAACAGTCCTTAGAAACATTGTTTCCGGAGGTAAGAATGGGATGGGTTGGGTGAAGCCTATCCTCGTCAAAATTTGACCCAAAAATTTGTTCAGGCTATTTTTCAAAGTCCAAACCTGACCGATCAAGACCTATAAATATTTGGATAAGGACTGATTGATTCAACTTTATTATATTATATTAATTTTAACATTATGTATAGTTAAATTATAAAATAAAACAAGTACAAACCTTAAATTAAGATATAATTTACAATATATATATATATATATATATATATATATTAAATACATAATTGCATTATAAATATAATATCATTTTATAAAAATTATTACTAATTTTTTAATATTAATGCACAATAATTCAAAAAACCTTGTATTTTATAAGGGAATCTTATTTGTCAAACCAAGTTGTATTTGGACGGCCCTAAATGTAACATGAATTGTCTTAAAAATGAATCGTGTTCAATTTCATAGCCCAAACTAGTCCAGATCTAGTTAGCGGGTTGTGTTAGGCCTTGCTTACAGCTCACTCTTACTTGGAAATTGATTTTGTGTAAGTTTCTCACGAAATTATTCTCATGGAAGTGTTCCTGAGATAAAAATAAAGTTTTAATGCGATAAAAATGTGTTACCTTTATTTACTTATTTAATGCGAGGAAAATTCTTGATACATTTATAAACATTTTTGGAAACATTGATGACCAACCAAACAAATCTTTGTGATTTCCATGAATCATAATTCTCAAACATGGAAAAAACTGCGGTTTACCAAATGCTGCCTTAAAATTATGTTTTTTCTACAACATGTTCTCAATTATTATTTATTGCTTCTTTTCTACTAAGAGCTGGATCTACAGAAGATGATTGCAGTTTAGATACAATTTGAACAACTTTCTCTTTAGCTGTTATTTGCCAGGGAACACGTGTGTAATATTTAGCTACCATTACATCGGTGCAGGCAGTAGAAGAATCTTTGAAGAGTTTAAACCTTTTTCATGGAGGAGTTGCTGATAAACAAGCTCGAAAATACAGTGGAGGGATGAAGAGGAGGCTTAGTGTTGCAATTTCGTTGATTGGGGATCCCAGAGTATGTTCTAATTTTCAATCCATTCTCATCACTTTTCGTAAAAGAAGATTCAAGTTAGATTTCCTTATTCTTTAACTGCAAAAAATTGTTAAGGTTGTTTACATGGATGAACCAAGTAGCGGTTTAGACCCTGCCTCAAGAAAAAGCTTATGGAATGTTGTCAAGCATGCAAAACAGAACCGTGCAATCATTCTCACCAGTATTCTCTCACTCCTTTATGAAGCAATAATTCTGCTTGTTGTCCATTATTTAGATGTATAATCAACTTGTTGAACGTTTTGTCTCTCTACATTTACATTGATGAATCTTGGTTTCATGTTCTCAGCACATTCCATGGAAGAGGCAGAAGCCTTATGCGATCGATTAGGAATATTTGTGAATGGTAGCTTGCAGTGCGTTGGAAATCCAAAGGAGGTAACATTTCTCAATTGATTTCCTGTATCAAAATATTTTACAAACTAAATCTGTTAGGTCCATGCAATCTGTGTAGACTTATCACACTTGCTATTTCTGTTGGTTTCTTATAGCTGAAGGCTAGATATGGAGGAACTTACGTGTTCACAATGACAACATCTTCGGATCATGAAAAAGATGTGGAGAACATGGTGCACCGACTCACCCCAAATGCCAACAAGATATACCATCTCTCTGGTACTCAGAAGTTTGAGCTGCCAAAAGAGGATGTTAGAATAGGGGATGTATTCCAAGCTGTTGATGCTGCAAAGAGAAACTTCACTGTTTCTGCATGGGGCTTAGTTGACACCACGTTGGAAGATGTATTCATTAAGGTTGCACGTGACGCTAATGCATTTGACACATTGTCATAATTGTCATACAAAATAAATTGTTTAAAACCAAATAAATTAATAAATAAACTGTTACTCCAGTAATATTCTAGTTGTGAAATTAGTATAGTCGCTTGGCCTTTACAAATGCAAGCTTTTGAGTGGATTTCCCTGCTGAGGATTTGCTTTGATGATAACATCAAGCATGGATATTGTATAGCTGCCGATAACATCATATAAATTATATTTTAATTTTATGATAAATAATTTAAATTACGATACAAAATTATTTTTAGCTATTGATAAAAACATTTAAAATTATTGAAATTTAATTTAAAAAGATGAGAATGATAAATTTAATTAAGAGATAATAAATTGATTTTATTTAAAAATTACCTTTAAATAAAAATCAGCATAAAAATAGTTCAAAATACTCTTGTTGAAAAATAGCTCTTAAAAATGCTTTTGTTCAAGATAAATATTAGTTTTATATTTAAAAAGAAATACAAAGAGCAATGATTATCGATAATTTCTTTTAAAATAATATTAAATTAATTTTAAAAAATGATATATATATATATATATATATATATATATATATATATTCCCCATTGATTGGAGAAAATCATATATTTTTAAAAAATTATTAGAAATTAATTTAGAAATAGTGATAAAAGAATATAGACGATTAATAAAATTAAACACATAAATAAAGATAAAATGAAGATAATTTAAGACTATTGAAAGAGTTTTTTTTTTTTTTTCCTAATTGTGAAGTTGTTTGTAAATGTACATCCAAAGTAGATAAAAGAGAGAATACTAATTTGTGATCTTAAGAAAATTAAATAAAGATTTTAGATGATTTTAAAGTTGATAATACAAGGGGGAAAAAATCAGCAAATACCATATTACACTAGTTGGTATATTTCTTTTTCTGGTTTTTACTCTTTAGTGAATTATCAGATGGTTTTAAACACAACTAATCGAATATTATTTTAAACTTTCATGCCTAGCTGGGTTCCGATAAGTACAAGACTACTTTCATTTTAGATTTTTTTTTTCCTGAACCATTTTCTTTTCTTTTTTTTTAAGAAAAAAATTAATACAAGTAGAGACATGGATTTGGACGAAAAATCAGTGAATTATTTCTTAATTGATATTTTAATAATTCTTCCCTATACTAGATATATATATATATATATATATATATATTGAAATAAATCATTCAAGTTTAATTCTTCAAAATTAACTCGTTATGAATGTGTGTGGTATAGAGAAGAAAAATATGTAAGAAATAAAATAATAAAAAATAAAAAAGAAAGAAATGTGAGTAGAAATAGATAAAAAAATATGGTAAAAAATTGATTGTTTAGTTTAAGAAAAATATAAAATAAATACAGGAGAAATAATACTATATGTATTTAGTATCATAAAAAGAAATGTGTGAAAAATACAATATATTTTTTAATAAATAAAGTATATAAAAACAAATAAGAAAATAAAAAACATAATTTATTTTCATTTTAATTAATTAAATTTTAAAAATTTAATCGATTGTATTACAAATTTACAATCAATTGAACTCACTGTTTTATAACAGTAATTCTGTGGCTCATAAAAAAAACAATAATACGTGGAAGAAAAAAAAGCATTTAATTGATTGAAAAAAAAATGCTTTAAATGATTGAATTTTATCATGTAAGGACTTTTTTTTTCTTCATTATTTCTCATTAGTGAAGCCTAGAAATAAAAAAATAAGATCCATACTTTTTATTTCTCACATCTGTCTTACATACATGTACTATTTCTACTCTTTTCCTTTCATTTCACATAATTCTAGACTGTCATAGAGGGATATGTATTTTATACATGAATGTACTATTTCTTTTTTCAAGTATTTTTCTTTTATGAGCCACAAAACGACTTTTTTTTAATATATTTTTTTTAATTATTAAAATAATTTGGGCCAATTTTTATTTATGTAAATAATTAGTTTTTGAGGCTCAGATTAAATAATCCACTTTAAAATCCAAATGAAAAATCGATTGCTGGGTAACTGATTTCTCAAAGGAATTTTGAAATTTTTTTTGAAAGTTCCTTTGAGAAATCGGTTACCCAGTAACCGATTTCTCAATTGGGCTTTTTCTCTCGTTTTTTTAGGCTATTTTTTGTTTTTTGTTTTTTTTAAAATTTGTCATTTTTTTTTCTTTTTCAGTTTTTAATATTCAGATTTTAAAAAAATTATAATTAATTTTAAAAAAATTCATTTAGTTTTTATTTTTAGATTATAAAAAATCTATTTAATATTTAAATAAAATAATTTTTAAAGAATTAAATTTAATAAAGTTAATACTAAATACAATTTTAAATAAATGACAATATTATTATAAATCACAACTTTAAATAAAAAAAAACTTTAATTGAGATGAACAACTTTAAATAAAAACAACAAAATAGGAGATCAAATAAAAAAGAACAACAAGACAATTACAATCCATGAAATTACAATCCAACTTTAATGATGTCTATGTCCACCAGTTCCACACCTCGGGGGTTGTCGGTTCTTTGTTGGGTTTCGACGACCAATGCGGAGTTGTTGTGGTTCAACTTGCTCCTCATCATGTTCTATATTAACAATATCGGTGGCTTGATTTGACGAAGTACTTCCACTAACCTCAAAGTGATAAGAAGAAAATGAAGGAAAATTCATATTTTACATGTAATTATATGCACTTTGTGGCGTGTGTACGTCGACGCCGAAAAGATTGCTCATGAAGTCCCCTGTTGGAGTTGTTGATGGTGGGGTGTACATGAATTGTTCATGGTGCGTATGAAATGGTGGATTCATTGAAAAAGACTGGGGATGTTGTTCCACACTATAAGGTGGGTGGTTATCTCCAGCCACCATGGGGATGTTGTTCCTATAGTTGTTGGGAGTTGTGTACTAGAAGTGGATGCATGAGATGAAGAATATTGGCTACAAAGATATATGCCTTACAATGTTGGTGCAATTGTTGTTCAGTGGGTTCATCTAATAGTGCAATTGTATGGTCTCTTAACCATTTTAGTTTTATGGTTGAGTCAACTAGAGCTTCCCCTTTTGGAGCTACGAAGCCTAACAACTCGTAACACAATTCATCCCAGACAAAGAAAGTTGGTCCTGTGACTGGTTTGCCGTTGATCCTTAAACCCAATTGTAGTGCCACATCTTTCAAAGTGACCATGCACTCACCAACTGAAAGGTGAAAAGTATGTGTCTCAGGTCTCCACCTCTCCACCAAAGACGTTATCAGACAATCATCGATTTTAAAATGTCTAATTTTTGCAACCTTGCCAAAGCCAGTAACCTCCAACAAATGCTCAATTCTTAGGTCAGGTGTAGGTATGGAATGATAGTAAGATCGAATCACTTGATCACTTGTTGTCTGCGAATATGGTAGAATTGAAATGTTAGTAATGAATAATATTAGTTGTAAACATTATGCAATATATATTAACTTACCATAAGATGAGTTTCATTTGACCTATGGATGTGTTGTTTCCACAACATAGTTGAAGATGAAGAAGACATTCTTGAAAAACAATAGCAACGAAATTGAAGAGTGCAATAGCTGAAGAGAATTGATCTTTTGTTGTGTGTTTAGGGTTGGAACGTATGTAGTGTATATAATGCAAAAAATTTGAATTAGTTTGTCTCATTGCGTAAGGAAAATTAATGGCTTTGTGCAGAGTGTCATTACCTTGGTCCCACAACCTCAAGAATCCAATACTTTGTGCAGAGTGTCATTGTCTTGGTCCTAGAGCATCAGAAAATTAATGGCTTTGTGCAGAGTGTCATGGTTTTGGTCCCAGAGCGTCAAAAAATTAATGGCTTTGTGTAGAGTGTCATTGCCTTGGTCCCAGAGCGTTAGAAAATTAATGGCTTTGTGCAAAGTGTCATTGTTTTGGTCCTAGAGCCTCAGGAATCCAATGCTTTGTAGAGTGTCATTGCCTTGGTCTCAAAGCGTTAGAAAATTAATGGCTTTGTCCACATTAGCTTGCTTTAGTTCTATATAATGTTCTGTAACAAAGGCTAAAATGCATCAGATTGAAACATTCAATCAATGGAGTCGTTCACTATTCCGACCGCTATTTATTATGATGGACAAATTGTCTCTACTGAGCATGGAGATATGTTTGTTAACAACGAGGTTACAACCCTACTAATATGCAACATGATGACTTATCAGCAACTTAAGCAGGTTATTAATAATAACCTTAATCTTTTTCATTACAAAGTTGTCATAGATATCCATTACCGATACCTAATTTCATGTATCGGTGATATATATAAATATACAGCGTGTTGTCTTAGGAATGATGAAGATGTGGAGTGTATGTTTTCATTGTTCACAGAACTGCACGACCTAACAAATCTCGAATTGTATGCTACGACGACGTATATTGGATTATTACATGAGATGGAAGCAATTGAAAGATACCTTGACCAAGTAATGAAGTTAGACAACTAATGTTATATGGTTTAGGATTTATGTTATTTATCTACTATGTTTGAAGTTTGTTTAAATTGTGTTTTTTAAAGTTATTTTCATTTTAATGATGTAACCGTTATAATTAGTGTACTTAATATATAAAGTCAATAATATTTAATAAAATAATATTGTCATTTATTTAATAATAAATTTAATTACCTATAATTATTAATACAAAATCAATATATTTATTATTATATTACATTATTCAATTTTCTATATTTAATAAATTTAATTTTAATAATAAATATATTTTTTTATTTCTAAAAATTTAATTAAATTAATTTTTAAAAAACAAAAAATGAAAAAATGAAAGAAAAGCCCAATTGAGAAATCGGTTACTGTCAACTTTTCCCTTCACTCTTTTCTTCTTCCCCATTCACTCTTTCTCTCTTTGCCTTGTTTTCCTTTCTCTGACCTTTGGTAACTTTAGGTGCTGAGCTAGAGTTGGGTGGTGCTAGCTGAGTGTTCGGAACCTTCTCTCTTCTTCTCCTCCTTCGTTGCTCCAGCTTTTGGTGGTAGAGCTGAGTAAGTTGGGTGCATAGCTGGTGTTCGGGGTTCACTCTTCTCCTTCAGCGGGTGTTCAAACTCTTCTTCATCTTCTTCTCGTTGTTTTATTGCCGGAAGCTTGGATTCTTTATCGAGGTAAGGGAAGCTAGGCTTATGGCTGTTTGGTTTGTGAATTAATGCATAATCACATGGTGTAACTGATTTTCGTGAGATTGATGAGTTGTGGTGAGGAACACTCACCTTCGGGGTTTTCGGGGTTGGGTGAAAATTTGGGGGATCTTCATAATCTGTGAATGCATGCTGAAAAGGAGATGTTTTTCATGATGTGTGATGAAAATGTGACACTTTGAACCGTTTGCATGTGGATTTTCTGTTAAGTTTTGCAGGTTTTTTTGGAAATTTTTCGAACTTGGGGGAGTTACTGATGAGTTCGCGCTGGGCGTTGTTCTTCGCGCCGGGCGCGCGACCACCAGGAGACTCTGTTTAGGCAAGCCCGCCGTGCGCAAGGTTGTGTGCGCTGGGCGAGCTTGCAAATGGGAGTCTCTGGTTAACCCGCGCCGGGCGTGACTCGAGCTGCGTCGGGTGCGATATCAAGGGTAACATGTTTTGGGATACTTTGGTGCCGCGCTAGGCGCACGTTTGGACTCGCTAGGCGCGGAGGCTCCTTGGGAGTCTCTGCCAAGAGCACGCCGGGCGCAATGCAAATTGCGCCGGGCGCGAGACCTTGGTAGGTCTCTGCCTTCCCCACGCTGGGCGCGGGTTAGGCCACGCTGAGTGCACGAGACTCCTTGAGTTTCTGCCAGGTAGGCGCTGGGCGCAATTTGGAATTGCGCCAGGCGCGTGAGAGCCTTGGTGCTCTCGGGTTGAGTCTCGTCGGGCGCGAGTACTCTTGCGCTGGGCGCGATGACCCCTGGTGCTCTCGGGTTGAGCCGCGCTGGGCGCGACCTCGAGCCCGCCAGGCGCGAAAAGGGATATTGAAATATATGTTGTTGGCTGTTGAATTGTGCTGAACTTGTTAATCAATGTTGTTATATGCTGGGCTAAGTTATATTTGATGAATGTGCTGTGATGACTAGGTGATAAAGCTGAGATAATAATATTTAGCTGTATTAGAGGTGTATTGTTGAGCTGAAAGCGATGAATTGATATGTAAAATTTCATAGTATAACGGAACCATAGTAGGTTGGGCTGAATTGTGATAAACAATAAGTGTGTTAAATTGTCGTGCTGTATTATGTTGTGTTGTGCTGTGCTGGGTTGTGTGATGCTATAGCCGCTAAGTCGGTGCTGATATAGCCACATATGTGGTGCTGATATAACCGTTAAGACGGTGCTGTTGTTGCCGCTTTGCGGTGCCGTTATAGCCACTCGAGTGGTGATGTTGTTACTGCTAAGCAGTGCTGCTATTGCCGCATTGCGGTGCTGATATTGTTGAGGGGTATAAGCTGTACGGGTGTGCTGATAACTGTAGCTGTTGTTTATTATATTGCTATATATATATATATATATATATTCATATGTTGGTTTTTAATTACACTAGCTTACCCTTTGTTGTTTCCATGATGATGGACTGCAATGATCATACTATGTATGGGAGCAGAGCAGGGATAAATGTCAAATGATGAGTCTTCGGCGGACCAGTGGAGCTGATCGCTTTTGTGACTATTTTGCTATGTAGCTACTTGGGATAGTAGCATTGATTGTACTTTGTGTTGTACACTCTAACTCTAGTTGGATTGGAACATTGTATATATTTATATTCTAGATTCTATAATTATATATTCGTTCTATTTTGTCTAGTGTTTCCAGTGTGCGGTAGTTAGAAGTGTAGTGACCAACTGGGTCGTTACAAAAAGAATTTTGAAATTTTTTTAAAAATCTCTTTGAGAAATCGGTTATCCAGTAACTAATTTTTCACTAGGGCCTCAAAACAGGTTACTTTGGTAAATAAAAATGGGCCAAAGTCATTTTAATAATTAAAAAAAAAAAGAATATATTAAAAAAAAATCCCACAAAACCATTGTTTTTAAAACAGTGGATTCAATGGATTGTAAATTTATAATACAATCGATCAATTTTTAAATTTAATTTATATACTTTATTTATAAAAATATACTTTATTTTTACTAATTTCTCTTTATCATACTAAATACATATAATATTATTTCTTTTAAATTAAATGATCAAATTTCTTCTATATATTTTATTTATATTTATTCACCTATTACTCTCCTTTTTATTTCTCTTGGTTCTATTTTTACCTATTTTTTTATTATCAAATACAGTAAAAAAAAAATACTGTTACAATGATTAAAAGGAAAAATATAAAATATATCAGTATCGTGGAAACTTACCATGCTTGCTTGAGCAAGGGTAACAACTAACAAGGGTAATACTGTAATAGTAATAGATAAACGTTAAAGCACATTTCCCATTACAAATTTCCATTTATCAAAATTTCCCCTTCAAGCTTTATTTATTTATTTATTTTGCTCAAATTTCCCCTTCAAGATCTACATTTAATTTCTCTCTCTTTTAATTACGTGACGCTTTGGATTCAAAAAATTTGTAAAATAACTTTAACCTTGAAATATAAGCCAGAAATAAAAAGGCAACTTAAATTCAGTGATTATTAATTTATTATCATCATTATTATTATTTGGAAAAATGGATTTTACAATATGTTTATCATCATATCTACCTGCTCTTATCTGAATCCTATGTCCATACGGCATACACGTAGACAATAGTACTTTTCGTAACTGAATATATTTAATTTCTTTCTATATTTTTTAAAAAATTAAATAAATAGTTATTTAAGAAGTGAGAGTAATTTAAAAAAGAAAATGCAAGAAAGTGGATTAAAAGTAATTATAAGTTACAAATGTAAAATAATTTAATAATAATAATATAAAAAGAATATGGAATCATTTTTATATAGAAGTATATTTTCATATAAGATATAGATAATCATAATCTTTTGTACCAGAAAACATTATCAAAAACTCAATTTGGATAGGATTCATTTATCTGGAAAAATTCCAAAGCTATTTAATATCCTTAATGAAATTTTATACTTATCTTTTTTTATCAAAACCGATTTGCTTGTAGTCAGAATACTTTATTTGACTCGTTTCCCTTCTCTATATAAATCCATAGTCAGGGGATGATATGTACAGAAAAAAACTAGAAATTTATTCAACAATGTCTAAGGTATTGTTGATCTTATGTATTCTCTCGGGGCTTCTGCTCCTTGCTCAGGCACATGACCATCATAAGAAAATTAAATTTTATCAGCTGGAGAGAGAAAATTTCAAGTTGAATTTGACAAATTACGGTGCTACAATTATCTCTGTCATAACACCTGATAAACACGGTTTGTTTTTTATCTTCTCTCCATTCTTTATTACTTTTGTCACACTATCACATGTAACATTTTTGTTATGACTTTTTTCACAGGGAAACTAGCCGATATTGTTCTTGGCTACGACTCCATTGATTCTTATAAGGTATGATCCATTAATTCTGTTTCAATTAGCTATTTGAAATAGAAAAAAAATATATAAATAAAATACTAGGTTCTTTATGAATGATTATGTGCCTTTATTCCTTGCCCTGTCTTTGGTTCTATATATATTGTGATTTATTCATTTATTCTGTATATTGTTTTAATCTATTTAAGTCCTGATTTAAAAACAAGTTGCAGCAGCACCTACATTGTGTTACAGTCGCTTTTAAAAAAAACTGCAAAGTTTTATGTTGCAAGTGAATTATTCTCGTTAACAATTTTTTTTTTTTACAGTTTTCATAAACGATTATTACCTGCATTTTATTATAGAAAGTGCACTCAAAATCTAAAAATGTGGTTGTTTACCAGGGATATCAGCAGG